GATCTTAAGAGCCAAACCGTTCAATCACATCAACAAATCGCGGAGAATATTGAAACTTCCAAACAGCACATGTAAAATGACAGTCGCTGTATATAAGGAATTGTTTGCTCAGAATGTCAATGTAGCAAGTCATTGTGACTGCTTATCCTTAGAAGCATCTAGCCACCGCCGCTTCAGCTATTTTGTGAAAGCAACATATAAATGATTAATAATTGTTATTAATAGTATTCAAGTAATTTTAAGTACTCACCTGCGTATCAAGAATCACGCGTTGTTGATAAAGAAATGATGTGGGTCCTTGTCGTTGCAAGAACACATGATCACCTTGAATACGTCGGCCCATACTGAACCAAGCACTTGTGATCAAATTCATCTTTTTAGCGGCACGCTGTCTTGCTTCTTCATTAGATTGCTATATATCAGAGAATAATAATGGTTAAGCAGTTATGAAATTAATAATTATAAAGTGAATAAAAGAGGTTCAAACCTTCAGACGGAAGATTTCTTCGGCGTTCTTCTCAGCCTCAATTGCGTCTTCACGACTCTTATAATTGTCAATTGTTTCATGCTGTCTTTTAATGTGCTGTTTGGAAGTTTCAATATTCTCCGCGATTTGTTGATGTGATTGAACGGTTTGGCTCTTAAGATCATCCTTAATCATGCCTTCCAAATTTCGAATGAAGGAATTCAATTCCCTAAATTTTATCAAATTGTTAATATACTACCTTTATATAAAAAAAGAATGTATCAATACGATTATTTCAATCTTACTCATTACGATTCTTCAATTCTTCCTTTTCTACCTCTAATTCTTTAATTCTAGATTCCAGAGTTGCTATATTATAAAACAAAATAAAATAAACATATGTTGCAATTTCCTTCTTACTTAAGCTACTAATGAATTATGATAAATGAGTGTCGCTAAAAGAAAACCCGAAAATTTAAATATAACTTATATTTAAATTTTCGGGTTTTCTTTTAGCGACACTCAAATATATGCGCAATATGTACAATCAGACTTGATTTCATCTCCTTTTTCTGCTTGAGTAGGTTTGAGCTGAGTCTCGTAAAGTTTTCTCCTAGTTTCAGCCAACTCTCTGTCAATGCTCTTTCTATTTTCAGATTTATCAGTACTAGAATTCAAATGACGTATTAGATTATGAAGTTAACGGTTCTTGTCATTCAAATTTCACATAATTTTGCAAACCGCAATAAAATAAATGGTCATACTTGGTATAAAAGAAAGCGTCATTGTTATTAATTAAAGGTACCTACTGATTTAAGTGTATAATTAATCAAAACAAGAATTTGCTTTTTAAATAAAAAGAACGATAATTTAAAAAATGTCGTTACAAATATCAGAGCCTCATGAATATAAAATTCAATACTCACAATCGTTAATTTATCGCGTATGCAATTAATTATAGGTATAAATATGTATAAAGAAAACGATAAAATAAATATTAATGAACATTACATGATTTCACTGTCGATGTGCAATTCTAACTTTTTACTTCCAGTTGTTTCAATTATTTTAGAAATTCCATTATCTAGTTCATGAAAGATAAATGTCATATTAATATATTAAGAGTCAATGCACAATGTGAGCAAATACAAACCAATATCATCGCTTTTAGAATCATAAT